GAACTGGAAGTAAAACTCCCTGGAAAAGATCATGTGAGGGATTGGAGGGTTTGGAGGCTGGAAGAGCCAACAACTTAGAGATGATGTATACCACTTTAATCTCTAAACCCTAAGTCATTGCCTAAGAACAATACTGAAACAAATATGCAGACAAGACAAACTAGGAGTCTACATGGCACTCAAAACCTGTGCTGAAAAAACACATCATGCCACTGTGTTCCCCTAAACATCAGCAGGGTGGGGAGGTGGGGTCAGCATTTCCCTGTAACTAGATACTTAAGTCCCTTATTTCTGAGGACTTGCTGCTGACACCTGAGTAACTAAGGAAACCAACCAAAGTTGCGGTCAGAAGGTAAGCACTCTTAATGTTCTGCAAACCGCGTTCAAGGATTCTTGATTTACCTGTATTTCCTCACATCCTTTTATTTTCAACTCTTCCAAAGGCCATTTTTAATCTTACAAGAGCTGTACTTCACATTTTCCTAGGTCATTCATTCTTTATTTTAAAAAATATGAAAAATATTCCTTGGACTCTCAATGTTAACATTTCAACAATTATAAGCTACAAGATATATCTGTGATCCTTGGGCAAAAGAGAAAATTAATTTTTAAAAAATTTTATATATACGTAAGTATTTATTTTAAATGTTAGTACTTTTTCTTCTCAAGCCAGGGAATAAATGAAGTAATATCTAGAAAGACTGCCTATCAATACATTTACTTGTTGAACTTGTTCAGAAACATTTTCAGGCAATGAGAAATCTCTCAATTTGGCAAGAAAAAAAATGAGAAAGGGGAAGCTGATAGAAGCATCATTCGACTATGAGTATATATTATTACCAGTCTGTGAATGGAAGTGGCTTACATTATACCCCAAAAACGAAAAGCTTATGAACATATTACTCAGCAGCAGATAAAGCAATGTGGGCCTTGAGCTGTGCCACCAGCTCTATGTGACTACTGAGTACTTGAAATCAGATCAGTTCAAATGACACGTGCCATAGTATAAAATACATATCAGACTTCAAAGAGTTATTACTGGGGGGGGGGGGGGGTTGTATATATCATTAATGATTTTTATATTGATTGCTTGAAGTGATAATGTTTTTTATATTAGGTTATAAAATATATTACTAAAAATTATTTTAACTGCTTCTTTTTACCTTTACTTAATATAGCTACTAGAAAATCACATAGGTGACTCCCACTATAATTATACTGGACAGCACTGGTCCAACAATAGCGGCCACCAGAAAAAGAGAAAAGTAAATGGTATTTCAGAGTATACAACCATGGTAATCATGATCACACTCCATCCAAGAACATGTTTGTTCTGATACGCTGACTTCAGAAAAACACATACGACACAGGCAAGGCCATGTATCTTAGCCCAACATCAAAACATACCGACATTATTATCCTACTAAAGTGGCTGTGCAGCCACACACTGGAGGAGAGCCGGTGCCATAGATTTCTCAAATCCCAACACTGGGAGGAGGCAGGAGGAAGCCAGGTGTGAGAAAGGCCAAAGTAAAAGTCCACGTGCTGACAAGTGCAAACTGGAAGATCATAAGGGGAGTCGGAGCTCTTCCCTTGGAGGTCAAAACCAGCACTTAGAAAACTAAAGTCCATGCAAGGGGAATAAACACTACTCAGATTCAGAGGGCCTTTATAACTACCAAACTGCAGGTTCTAGTTCTGTAGGCAAACCTAAAACAAAGTAAAACCTGTGCATAAAAAGAATTATCATAGAAGAAATGACAGAGTTATTAAGGAGATTTTCCCACACCAAACAGAAAGTCAAACACAAACTCAAGACAATTTATAAACATCCGATCTTAATACAACATATATAAACGTAAAGGGTAGAGTTGTTCTAATACGCTTGGAAGCATTTTCATGTAACTGTTACACAACCCTTCCTTCCTCACCTTATATAAGCTCTGTAGTCAGTGTTTACATAGGGTTTTTAAACTACCGAAGAAATATTTTATTCTTTTGTTGTTACTGATCCAACTATAAACACAACATTTTTATAACATGTTTAGTAATGAGAAACTGGGACACTGATGTCAACAGCACATGGTCTGTAAAACAAAAACAGCAGAATTACCAGACAGCCTCTCAGAAATCAGCTGCTAATAAAATAGAAATTTCCCCTCCCTCCTTAAAGTTTTCGATCCAGTTTATATTTGAGTTCCTCCACATCCGTGCATCAACTTCTAAAATGAGTCTGAATCAGAACCAGGCACCCTGGTCTCCAGGGTCGAGACACTGGGCAGAGCTGGTGTTCTCAGCTATGTATAGCCAGGCAGAGAACTATCCTCTATATGCTCTTGATAACAAATATAAAAGGTACTAACTAGCAAGGCTTTTCTGTTTAGTAAGAGCTTAATATGTTGGGACCTATACTGACAGTGTCAAAGAAAACTGACTGGAGGAAAATTGGAATAAACCAATCATTCAGCCAGTTTCGTGCACTGCCAGAGTCGGGACACTGAGGTGGAAACGGCATACACGTGAAGCAAGTTACCATCTAAGTGGACAGACTAGGAGAACTAGTAAATTACAGAAATATGATAATTAATGAACTGTACATGACAGCTCAGAGAAAAAGGAACTCAACTGGGCTTGAAATGTTCAGAAATGACTTTGGGGAAGTGAAACCCAAGGTCAGGCTCAAAGGATGCAGAATCCCAAATGGAAGGCCACCACGGAGTCCAGAGGTAGGCGGGAGTATGGTGAGTATTTAGGACATGAAAATAGTCCTGGCTTGTGTGGCTCAGTGGATTGAGTGCTAGCCTGTGAACGAAGGGTTGCAGGTTTGACTCCCAGTCAAGGGCACAAGCCTGGGTTGCGGGCGAGGTCCCCAGTAGGAGGTGCACAAGTGCACAAGAAGCAACTGCACATTGATGTTTCTCTCCCTCTCTTTCCCCCTCCCTTCCCCTCTAAAGTAAATAAAATCAGAGAGAGAGGAGAGGGGAGGGGAGGGGAGGGGAGGGGGGGGGGGGGGGGGGAGGGGAGGGGAGGGGAGGGAAAATTAAAACAGCCTATCCACAGCACACTGTGGGAGGTGGAAGGAAAAAAACCCTTGCAGGGTTCAAAGGACTCTCAAAAGTCCAATGTAAATGCAACACAACTTTAGGAAACCTGAGTTTCTAGGAATGTGATAAGAGCAGAAAGAACCCACTACTGGATAAACTGAAGATTGAGAAGCTACTGTGTTAATCCATGTACAAGGATCTTGGCAACTGGCAATGATGGAACTGACAAAGAGGAAAAGGCATGGACAGAGGGAGTGATATCAAAGGAAAAAAACAAATCAAAGACCTGGTTTCAAAGATGACCTCTAGGAAAAGAACAAGAGTATCCTCTTCAGAAATAAATAAGGAAATTGGCTTGACGAGACAAGCAATGACCAAAGTCTGGACATGTTGAATTTGAGCTGGTCATGGGATGTACATTTGGCAAGTGACCACCAAAGACCACCAGAGATGTGAGAGAGAAAAGCTCTGTGAAACAAAAGAGCAGAGAAAAATTTGTAAATTGAAATATAAGGGTGATAAGTGAAATCGAGTTGGGAGACTATTTATTTTGCAGGTATCCCCATATAGAATTGTTTTCCTTTCACTTCTCTCACCATTAATATATACTACTTTAAGAATGGAACACAATTTGATGAGGAGGATGGCTTTAGAAAAAAGGCTACACATAGAAAACAAAAAAACTAAAAGAAATATGCAAAAATGTTCACAGTGGTGTCATTAGGGGGTGAGATCAACGATATTTTCTTCTTCCTACTTTTTGGAATTTCCCCAGTTCTATTTATTTTTTTAAATAGCAAGCACAGACTTTCCCTGACCAGCGTGGCTAATTGGTTGGGTGTTGTCCTGCAAAACTAGAGGTTACAGGTTCAAACCCTGATCAGGGCACAGGCCTGGGTTGCGGATTTAATCGCCAATCCGGGCGTGTACAAGAGGGAACCAATCAATGTTTCTCTTCCTCTCCCTCCCACTCTCTCTAAAAATAAAATCTTTAAAATAAATAAATAAATAGCAAGCAGACTTCATTGGAAGATGAAAAGTAAATATTTTTTACAAGAAATGATCCCCCCAAGCATTAGTGAAAGCTCTTATGGCTGTACGCCTAAGCAGTGAATTTTATTTTATGTAAATTAAAAATACTATTAATGGTGTTTTACAACCACTATACTGAATACTTAGTTTTGACAAGACAAAATGAGAAAATGTTTATCAGTAAGAGTGCAAGTTATTGCAGTTTCTCTGTAAAACATTTTGCCAAGATCTATCAAAATTTAAAACCTGAAAAAGCTTATGCTCTGTGCCCAACAATTTGACTTCCAGGAATTCACTATGGACAAAATATGTACAAGAAACTTTACTGTAGTATTGTTTCAAATACTACATAATATAGAAGCATAATATTGTTTCAAATAGAAAAAAATTTAAATAACCAGAATACTCATCAAGTTTTGGGATGCAGGAGAGGAGGATAGAAGGAACAAATTTTTTAAAAGGAATGCTCATTGGTAATTTATATGTGCTTAGTCTTGCTACTTAAATTGCGGAATGCTTGAAAAAGAGTAAAGGAATGTGTCTGAAGTGTTTTTACACCCAAGGTTCATACCTGTAACCCTGACTGAGAGCACCAAACGCAGTAGATACACAAATGTTTGCTGATAAAAGTAAGACAAAAGCATGTAAAATGAAAATATTTACCTTTTACCTTGTAAATAATGTAAGTGGCAAGATTGGGCCTGTTTATTTTCTAGTTTAATCTATGTGGAATGTGACCTAAAGAAGTCCATTACCTTCTCATTGGCATTACCCTAACAATTATTCCCAGAATAGTATTTATGATGTTGCCATGCACAAACGGTGAGGTTAAACACAAAGAAATTCTAACACTACAAGGCTACAAGCTGTTGGCACAGCTCTGTTAAGAAATGCAGTACGAGAAAGATTGTATTTCAGACGCACCTAAATGCCAGGACGTGGACCTGTCCATATGCTTTCTGTTACATGCAGCTGAGCTCCATTTCCTTGTGCTGTCCAGGTCCAAGCTTAAAGCCACACGAAGAGTCCCGGTTAGCAGAGTCAAGACCTAGCTAGAGAAAAACAAATGATAAATAAAGATTAATAGTAAATCTAGCAGGAGGCAAGCTGCATGAATGGCATCCAATTCTCACTCCTAGAACTCTGTTACTTCTTCACTTCTAATGAACATCTCCAAGGCCCAGCCCATGGGAAGGATTCCAGACTACACCTTTGGTCCCTTAAAAATCAACTCTCCACTTGCACAACATATTTTAAAGATGGTGCTTTACAACACCTGGAAAAAGCAAGTTTTCACTCAGCTGGCCTTTCTGCTTTGACAATTTTTAAATTCCATATTCTCTACCACAGGGAGGCCTCGATTTTTTTTTAAAAAAATAACTTTTTAAGGTCTTCTTTTGATCTATATGCCAGGCATTGTGCTATGCTTTGTACATGCGTAATTTCATTTTCACCTAAACCATTGGGAACCACTGGTCCCACACTTTACAGTTAAGAAACCCAAGTGGAATGAGGCCTCCCGGTCAAGGTCCAGGAACTTAAAAGAGATGTAGTGACTTCTGGCTAAGATGGAAGCGTATGTAGGTACACTTTGCTTCTTCACATAACCAAAAGAAGGACAACAACCAATTTAAAAATAAAAGACTACCAGAACTGCCAGAAAACCGACCTGTAAGGAAGTCCTACAACCAAGGAATTAAAGAAGAAACATTAGTCCAGACTGGTTAAGAGGGGTGGAGAGGACACGTGGTAAGGCTGCAGTTGGTGGACCGTGCAGGTGAGGCAGTGGCTGGCGAACCAGGCAGCCCCACATGTGTGTGTGGATAAACCTGGAGGAACAACTGGGGAGCAAGACAGACCACACAACCCAAGGTTCCAGCGCAGGGAAATAAAGCCTCTAAACCTCTTGCTGTAAAAACCTGTGAGGGTTGCTGCAGCGGGAGAAACTCCTAGGCTCACAGGAGTGTTTGTTGGAGAGACCCACAGCGTCCTAGAAAACACACAAACCCACCTACACAGGAATCAGCACCAGAAGAGCCCAATTCGCTGGTGGGTAGCAGGGGAAGTGATTGAAAGCAGGTGAGAACTGAGCAATTGGCATTGTTCCCTGTTGGACCTCTTCCCACATACAGCACCACAATGCGGCGATCTGGGTTGCCCCACCCTGGCGAATACCTAAGGCTCTGCCCCTTACAACATAACAGGTACACCAAGACAAAGAAACAGGCCCAAATGAAAGAACAGATCAAAACTCCAGAAAAAGAACTAAACAATGAGGATAGAGTCAACCTAGCAGAAGCAGAGTTTAAAACACTGGTAATCAGGATGTTCACAGAAAGGATTGAGTTTGGACGCAAAATAAAGGAAGAAGTGAAAGCTATACAAAGTGAAATACAGAAAAATATACAGGGAACCAAGACCAAAGGAAGGAAACCAGGACTCAAATCAACAATTTGGAACAGAAGGAAGAAATAAACATTCAACCATTCACAGACTAAAGAAAACAAGAATTCAAAAAAAATGAGGAGAAGCTTAGGAACCTCTGGGACAACTTTAAATGTTACAACATTCAAGTCACAGGGGCACCAGAAGGGGAAGAGGAAAAACAAGAAACTGAAAACTTATTTGAAAAAATAATGAAGGAAAACTTCCCCATTCTGGAGGAGGAAAGAGACCTGAAGGTCCAGGAAGCTCAGAGAGTCCCAAAGAAGTTGGACCAAAGGAACACACCAAGACACATCATAATTAAATTACACAAGATTAAAGATAAGGGGAGAATCTCAAAAGCAGGAAGAGAAAAGAAGACAGTTATCTACAAAGAAGTTCCCATAAGGCTATCAGGTAATTTCTCAAAAGAAACCTTGCAGGCAAAAAGGGGCTGGAAAGAAATATTCAAAATCATAAAAGGCAAGGACCTACGTCCAAGATTACTCTATCCAGCTAAGCTATCATTTAGAACAGAAGGGCAAATAAAATGCTTCCCAGATAAGGTCAAGTTAAAGGAGTTCATCATCACCAAGGCCTTATTATATGAAATGTTAAAGGGACTTATCTAAGGGGGAAAAAATCAAAATTATTATCCGTAAAATGACAACAAACTCACCACTATCAACAACTGAACCTAAAAAGCAAAAACAAAAACAAAAAGAAACTAAGCAAAGAACTAGAACAGTAGGAGAATCACAGAAACGGAGATCAAATGGCGAGTTATCAGTGGGGAGAGGGAAGGGGGAGAACAAGGGAAAAGGTACGGGGAATAAGAAGCATAATTGGTAGGTACAAAATAGACAGGGGGAGGTTAAGAATGGTATAGGAAACAGAGAAGACAAAGAACTTATCTGTATAACCCATGGACAGAAGGGGAGGAGAGTGCTGGAGGGAGGGGAGTGCAGGGTGGAGGAGGATAAAAGGGAGGAAAAAAATGGGACAATTGTAATAGCATAATCAATAAAATATACTAAAGAGATGTATGTGACCGTGCAGGTGTCAGAGTCCATCAGGACTATGACAGCAGAGCATGCACCCCAGTTTTAACTCTACATTGCCTCCAGTGCCACTGCTAGAATGAACTTAAAGGTAGTACATCTGTGGGAAAAGCGAAGATTTAATTATTCAAAAACCACCTTCTTTTAAAACCTCTTTAAAATGTATTAATATATTGGAGGGTGCTTCCAAAAATGCTGCATCACATTCTGTATCACTAGGTACTCAAGTTCCTTTTTATGTTTATGAAATGAACCTGTTTGTACACACTGGCACCTACGCATATATTTCACAATTTAAAGAGAAAGAAACAGAGCCTGACTCCAGCAGCTGTCTTTGGAACAGCCAGCCAGGCATCACGAGCCTTGCTTTCCCATTACAAAGTAAATAGAACAAGGTAATGACAGTTTCTCATTAAAAAATATTTATGCTGTGAATCTTTCACCTCCAGTGCTTGTTTTGGGTGACTTAGCATCACCATTCACCAATGGCCGCAAGGTAAGTAGGTACTAAATGCCATCAGATGAAACTCCAGTGATTCTGTTATGTTTTTTGGTTTGTTTAAAAAAAATATATATATATATATATTTATTTATTTATTTTGGGGGAAGGGAAGGGAAGGGAGGGAGAAAGAGAGGGAGAGAATCGTCAATGTGCAGTTGCATCTTGCGTGCCCTGCACTGGGGACCTGGCCTGCAACCCAGGCACGTGCCCTACACTGGGAATCGAACTGGCGACCTTTTGGTTCGCAGGCTGGCATTCAATCCACTGAGCCACACCATCCAGGGCTGTTTCTTAATTTTAGAAACTAAACATCAGTATTTACTGTTTGGGACAAAAAAATATTACTACTCATTTTGAGTGATTAGAATATGAATGGAGAAATTCTGCTTTCCTCTTTCTAAAAGATATTTTTGTGTGCAAGCAAAAAAAAAAAAAAAAAAAGGCAGCAATTTGTTCCCCAAAATAAAATTTTCCTAACCATCAATCTATTTTAGGCTATGTTTATTAAAAATATACAGTCAGAAGGGAGGCACAAAAGCGATATCCATCACTGAAGATTAGAAATAATGGAAAGAACATGAAAAAAGTAACAAAAAGCTTTCAAAGAGAAGCTTATTTTCTGTTAAGTAAACTGTAATCATATTTTTTTTTCTGAAAACACAAGTTGTACAATATGTATAGTATAATCCCACTTTTATTAAAAGTATAACTATACAGTACATATTTGTGGACACAGGAGAGGATTAGAAAGGATAAACATCAAACCACCTTAAAGTCTAGGAGGTATAAGGGCTGGTGTGACTTTGAAATTTGCTTTATACAATTCGGACAAGTTAGAATTATTTTTCAACACATTTACGCTTCCTTTGTAAATCCTTTAAAGAAGTAAAAATGTAAATTTTTCAGAAGGTTCCATGAAGGCAAAGCTGCAAATTAACCAAATGTCATTTTAGCTATAAATCATAGAAAAATTCTGACAGGATAAGTAAAAGTCATTGACTCTATGAAAATGTATTTTTAGAAAGTATCTTTTAAAGCTGATTGGTAAGATGAGTAATTGCTAAGACTAGCTTTGCTTTCTAACTGCACTGAACTACTACTGCAGACCAAAACATAGAACTGAGTCAGAAATTCTAGTGGTGGCAGGAAAATGGAGACAACTGTACTTGAACAACAATTTTCCAAAAGTGAAAAAAAAACAAAAGAATAGATTGGGAATGGAAAATACCTTGCATATATTAGGTGTTATATATTTGCTGAGTAAATAAATAAATGATATACATGTAAAAAAATAACAAAAATGTTTGTAAAAATAAAAAAGTTCTAATACTGGATAAACACAAATATATTTTCGAGAAAAGAATTAAGCACGAAGGGTCACTCAACAAAAACAAGCTGGGTTATCAGTGACCATCCTTGAACTGATGCCACAGTGCCACTGGAACACCGTTCCCCTTCAAATGTTCCACCGCACTCTGAAACATGAAAACCTGCCCTTTGCACACAAGGCTAAGATCAAAGCCCAGGGTCCCTGAGCAAGTTGGAGGAAACTTCCCTTGGACCATAAGGATGCACCACCTAACTTTCCCCCAGAAAGGCCACCCTGAACTCCGAAGAAACTGTTCACAGTTCTGCTGTTTATTAGTTGGGATTTTCAAAAGTACTATAGGCAGTGGTTCCTAAATTTTTATGCCATAGAGAAAAAACACTTCCTAAAAAATTTGAGAGGTGGGGATAATATAGATTTGTCATCTTTGTATTTTACCCTTTCCTTAAAAAGCGATGTTAACACTTCAGAAACAGGAAGGATGTATCATTATATCAATTCACTAGATGCAAAAAAGTCAGACAAAACACCTAATCCTGATTTTAAAAACAAAACCTTTTCAGGGAAAATTTAAATGATACTTGCTAAATATCGCGAAGAACATCTTCTGAAAACAAGGAAAAACACAAATGCTATGTACTTGTCATGCTTTTACATTAAGTTTGTACTTTTTAAAGGATTTGCAAAGTTGGTGAAATGGGCAGTTTTTTAGGAAAACCATTTTTTGAAAGCCTGAAC